ACCTCATCAAGAAAAACCCAATAGGACAAAAACTTGGTAAGGAAAAAGTGCAATAATTGACAATTAATTTACAAGTTACAATTTACAAACAACTAATTTTTGGGTTCACTAGACCTACATCATCCGTATCATCTATATTACAAAATTGAAATGATTCTATTAAATACGTCGACAACCTCGTATTGACCTTGGGCACGACTGTTCCCAATCTCAAGACATGTGAGGACTTCAATCATTTTTTGTGAAATTTTAGTCCTCCTTTCATTAAAATTCTTCCACTTGCACTAAATGTTTGTTCGGATAGAGGTTGAGACAGGAACACGAAAAACATCCAAGGCAAGTCTTGATAATACCGGAAAAATACATTTTCTAGCTTTCCAATAGTCTAAGAAGATCAATGTTGGCTCTCTGTTGTGGATCTACTGGTAACATTTCAAGGTTACCAATATTGTTGAAGCTCATTACTCTGCGACTGCATGGAAGACAGTACATTAGTTTTGTTGGTGGTGGAGCTTCTGAAAGGAGGTTGTTCTTCGGATTCGGGTCCTCTTCAGCCTATTCAGTGCACCCCAAGAGTAGAAGTCTTCATTTGTTTTCTCTGATGCAGCTTCTCTTGGAGTTTCGCCTCTTTGCGGTTCCCATACCTGTTTTCATATTGGAAATTACTTCGAAAAGTATTTTTTTTACCTCTCCTATTTGATTGGCATATACTTCGGTTTGTAAATTTTTCACATAAATTGTCAAAACCATTTTCTAACCTGCTAATTTTTCTAGGATCAAATATACACCTAAACATAAAGAAAGGATGGGTTTCCAATATTTAAAAAAAAAAAAATTCCAATTGCCTTTATTGGTGCATTTAAAATTACATTGTCTTTGTTTTTTATAAATAATTCAGAATTTTTATAATTGTTGTATTACTAATGAACAGTAAGATATAAACACCAGAAAGTTGTAAGTGGATTGGTAAAAAGTTTTAAGAAAAGAATGAATAACTTTAGCTATTTGCCAATCTTTTCTACCAAATAATGATGACCCTATTATTTGCTACAAAATAACTAATTATATTAGCTAGGTAAACAGAATCAAGCATTAAATAAGTACTATTCCATCTAACAGGCATGTCTAATGCAAAATTCTAGGAGACTATTTGATTTTATACAAGCGTCTTGAAATTCAGCATTTCTTTTATTACTACTAGTATCCAGCTAAACAATCTCTAATTCTATTATATTTCTTTAATTGTTTTCATACCACTTTTCACAATTAAATTAATAACATGGCATGTACAAAGTTGGTGAAAAACTTCAATTGTTATATAAAGGTAATTACTTTGAAAATAATCTATAGCATTACTATTAGAACTTGTATTATCTAAGTTAAACTATCACTTTACTAACATATCATATCTTCTAAAACTTTAACAATTTTATTATAAATTTGTTCACCACTATGATCACCATCCATAATCTAATCATAATAAGATTTATTTAATTTACATTCATTATCAAAATAATGCTAGTCACACAAATATAATCTTGTTTACTCTACCACTCCCAAATATCGGCATTTAGAGCCACTAACATGACAAGTATTTTATTTATTTTTTTAATTCTAATTTCATTTTTCTAAACAATTTTATTAAATCATTTCTAATTGCAGTTTTAGAATACTTTTAAATCTTGGAAAAAATGAATTTTGAACAAATCTTTCAAAATATTATCTTCAGCCATATTAATAGGTTGATCAGTTACACGCAATATATAAAGCTAATTGTTCCCTATACATCAGAATTATAACATTATTTAGTACCCATATTAGTTATTGTCGTGCTGATTGCTTTTTCTATTCCATGTTGATTAATATGTTTTTTTAGCATGCCTTTTTAAAGTACTAGTACCATTATCTGAATCAGCTTTATAATATTTCCACAGTAATTGCATCTCGCTTTCTTGACTTGAACGTCTTTTCTGTCTTAAAACTTGTCAAAATGCGCCCAAACGTCTGATGTGTGTCTGTCTTCGCTTTCCGACGACATTTTATAATCCCGCCTCAGCTTGAGATGAAGTTGGACGAGCACGACAATTACGAGACGACTTATAGAACCACCGGGAGCTGTTGGAATCGGGGCATATTTTGAGGTGTATTGGATTCTGAGAATGGAAAAGCGGGACTATTTGAATCTCCTCTTACATTTTGTTATAAAATTAGCGGGACTAGGACTAGGATAGTAGTTTCCTTCATCATGTAATTGATGGGAGAGAAATATCTATCCATTGTAGTTAAAAAAAAAATTGATGTAGAATAAATAAAATTAAAGAAGGAATCGGAATATGGAAATTGGAATTTGGAATTTGGAAATTGGAAATATGAATTAAAAATTGCAAAACTAATAAAATTTAAAACAAACAAATTGATAACAAAGAAATTAAGAGAATAATGAATAATTGAGAGATTAGATTACAGATATGAAAAATGAGAGAATTTGAGTGTGAGAAAAATGTGAGAGTTTAGGGCGAATTTATAAAAAAAAAAGGAAAGGAAAAATGACAAAAAGACCCCTCCAACGGCTATATTTCAAGGGTAAATGGGTAATTTGAAAAATAAATAAATTTTTTTATTTTATTTTTATTTTTTTCCGGCCCACCCACGGGTCAACCCGACGGTTGACAACAAGCCAACCCGCCGGGTTGACTGTTTTTTTTAAAGAGACAAACAGCAACTCGTCGGGTTACGAGTTGCCATTTTGCAACTCAGCCCGCCCAGGGGTTTGCTGTCGGGTTGGGTTCAACCCGACCGCCATATTGGCGGTTCGGGTTCAACCCGTTTCATTGCGGGCCGGGTTAGGGTTGACCTATCTAACCCACCCATTTGTTTCCACCTCTAGTCCTGATTGATTTGGTTGGCCATATGATTCACACTCGTTGCGTTTTGTTGGGTCAATCCACGTGGTATACGTGATGGACCATTCCGTCGTGTGTTCAGTGGCCTGGATCCCAATTCATTCCCTCTAGTTGGATGACTCCTCTTGTGACCGATCAAGTGTTTCGCCCCACATGGATTATAAAAGGGGGTTTGGGATTCGCTCAGTCCGTTGGGATGGATGGACTCGAGCGAGGTGGTTTGAAGGAGTGGGAGACCGTTCGACCCTCGAGGTGAGTCGAACTGAGTGGGATTTGGGTAGGGATGGTTGACTGAATGTGAGACATGATGGTGAGGATGGGTGCTCTTGTTGTAACGGGCTTTCTGTCACTTGGACACCTTGATCTCGCTCCCATAATGAGATTGACCGAGAGTTTCTATTGGCCCCCCGTCTTGGTAGTCAGAGCTGAATCGTCAATTAATGACAACCATAAAGGGCGCAACCTTATCTCAGATCGTTGGTTTTGCTCTAGAGTTTGGAGAGGTTACATAGACAGAATGGAGGCGCAAAACTGATTGGGTTGTACCTGACAAGGCAGAAGCTCAAGATCATAAATGACTTACCTTCTCTTTTAGAGACTGGTTTTCGGCCTTGATAGAGACGTTCTTGATCTGAATGACAGTGTTCTCAGCTTCTATGTAGCCACCTTATCTGAGTGTTGTTGCATGAGGGCGGTTAGAGCCTCTAGTCTAACCCTCGGGCCAGGATTGGTGTTATCAGAAGTTTCAGCATATATAATTTCTTTACGCAGCAGGTTTTATAAACGAATGATTGCCAGAGGCCCCACGGTGGGCACTAAACTGTAGATAGCAAAATCTACCTTCGCAGAAAGAAGGACTGATCTTGTGAGGTTGAGGCACTAACGATCTACTTCACCTGCACATGTAGAAACCAGCATGAAGCAAACGGAAAACACCAGGGTGCTGTTTGCCGTAGGCACTCCGACCCTCAAGTTAGCAAGGCTGAGTGAGGCTAGTTTAGTGAGGTTTAGAGAGAGCAAAAGCTACTGGAAGTCTAGTCGGGACTGTGACTACAACTATAATGCGATTTTTTCAAGTGGGAACTCCAAGGTTTGAAGGTGTAATGTCTTTGTCCTTTGTGAGCGAGCTAACCTCTGTTTAAATAGTGATTACATGGTCTTCGAATCCTATTGGGACTGGAGTCCTTGCAGTAATGGTCCTCCCAAAGAATGGAGCCTTTGACTCTCTTATCTCAGCGGGAAGGGATGTCCTAGCGTGCCTAGGACGGACCTTAGAGGAATTGAGATAGTAATAACTTCCTTAGTAGAGTTCCAAGTAGTACTGGCGTTTCGTAAGGGATGTGGCCTCCGATTTGTCGTAAGCCCATAAGGCGTTCCAGGATCTAGAGGCTTGGGTCACAATGGTGAGGAGCTGGGAACGCATACCAAACGTGCCTCATCTACAGAACTCTGATTTGGGCCCCATCGAAATTAGGCCTGACTTTCATCTTTGTTGGAGGTGTCTTCGTCTTTAGGCCTATTTGGGCCATGATTATTTTTTGGTCCTAACAATAGGCGATTCAAGAATCAAGCTACCCTAACTCAACAATAAGGACACTCATATACCATATGGATCCTTTCATAGTCTTTACTGTTGAGAGTTCAATATTAGACCCCTTGGTTGATATATATTATATTGTTATTCAACTCTTGTTGTACCTTGAAGTACATCATATGTTATTTGCAAGCTTGTGCGAGTGCTTGTGCAATTTGAGTTTAAGATATATGTAGGTTTACAGTTCACTAATTAATATACCAATTCTCTCTTTACTACATCATGCATTCAAGTGAAAACAGCGTGATCGATCTTTGAAATGATAAATTAAAATCAAGATGTCCTTCCACCTTGTTATTAATTTGTGATGTATTCATGTATGGGAATTCTTAGTTATTGGTTTTTGCAAGTAATGTTGTCTGTTTTATTGATAAATAATAAAATTATTGCAGCATAGTTGATGGTATTACTATTACCATTTCGGCATTTTCAATTGTGAATTTGAAATTTTTAGCATGTGTAATAAATAAATTATGCAATAAGGCGAAACACCTGCCATCAGCGCCGTCTTAGCTCAGTGGTAGAGCGCGTGGCTTTTAACCACGTGGTCGTGGTTCGATCCCCACGACGGCGTTTTTGCTGCTATTTTATATTTTTTTTTTAACCACGTTTTGAGAATGTTTTGCTGTGGTTATGAAGGACAACGTTTTGGTAATTTTTTTTTTAATATCTTTTATACTCTTATTCTTTTATTTAATTTCTTGTTTTGCAGTTTTACTTATGTTATGAGAACGTCTTTGCATAGTTGGATTCAAATTGGTGAAATAATTATAGTCGACATTTTTATTTTAAAGATTGATTGAAAATTGTTATAATTGTAAAATAATCCATTTAAATTGATTTGTATATGATCTAAAACCTAGAAACGTTTAAAAATGAATGAACGTGAGTATTTTGAAAGTGATGAGGTCCTATTTTAATTTTGGTATAAGTCCAAGATAGAGAAATAAGTTTGAGGTTTTATTTTATTTTAGTCTATATATATAAATCAAGCAATTAAATCTTTTACAAATACTTGATGGGTGTTTAATTTTTTTTTTAAATACTATTTTATGATACTAAATAATATGATATTATTTCAGAAGAGTTAACATATTATAGAGGATAAACTTTATGAACTTGGAGTCATATATATCCTAATTAATAATTAATTGTCATAAATAAAACCAGTCATATATATCATAATGCATGTAGTACGGGTTACTTAGGGTCCATTTGGTTTGTTATTTTTGATAAGATTTTAGAAATAATATTGGATAGTTGAATAAGGTGATTATTAAGAGGTAAAATTTAAAATTTAACAAAAAAACACTCTAGGTTTGCTAATTTAACTAAACACCCAAAAATATAAAATTTTTGTAAAATGAAAAAAACACCCCCACCCACCCACAGTGCCAGATCCGGCCACCACTGCCAAAATCTGGCATTATGATGTAGACCAGTCGGATCTGGCCGGACGTGCGTTGATCTGGCAGTCAGCGACGACAATTTCTTTGGCCGTCGCTGACGACCAGATCTAGCATTTTTCGACCAGATCCACTGTGAAAAATGCCAGATCGGTGAATTACCGGCCAGTTTCGGTTGTTTGTAGGCCATTGTGACAGATTTCGGCTACCACCGATGATGGTTGTTAGAATCTGACAACTATGGATGAGTAGAGATTTTTTTGTTAATTTTTAAACTTTTTTTTTCTAAGGGTATTTATGAAATTAATAAACTTAAATGGTCTAAAGTAATTAAAAAAATACAATAATATTTCCTAAATAATTAAACAATCAAATATTTTAATAATAGAGTATGAAATAATAAACCAAACACACCCTTATATATCTCTAGTATATATAGCAAATGGCGAGTTTAATATTCATTATTTTGCCAGCTCTGGAATTTGATCAAATAGAGAGGGAGTCATAGTCATATTCATGATAGATGGGAACCCAGAAGTTAGAGGACAAACAGTAAGAAAACAAAAAGGCGAAGGGGATGATGTTTATAAGCATGGTGATGAGGGTCAAGGTTGACTGATTGTGGTGGTAGTGGGTCTCTAATTTTGTGTACGACGTTGTAGGCCTGTCTCTCTCTCTCTCTCTCTCTCTGACAATTGATATCAGCTCCGCACTTAGCAGCTTGTTATGTCTAATCGCCAAACTGTGATCTGTTCTCCATCACTTTATCTCTGAGTTCGTACACATTTCTTTCTTTTTCCAGGCTATCCCTACCGACCCTCCCCATCTTGTACCTTTCAATCTCATCAGGGAATCACTAGTTACGTAGCTTTTTCAATCACGTTACAATCCAACTAGACGGGCCTAACTAATTGAGTATAGATCCGACCATTTCCCATGGATGAGATTTAGAAGTTTGAATATATCTCATATTGATAAATATTTAATCTAATTATACCAAAAACTTTTATTTATCGTCATGAAACTACCAGCAGCATGGTTCTTTAATTACCAGACATCAGTCAAAGAAGCTTGGCAACTATGGCGGCAATTTGCCCCCTATTATTTTTCTTTTTCGTTTTTCTTCAGTTGCTTTAGTGCTCTATGATCACCAGTTCTTTGGTTTCCCAGAACTATGGTGACAATTTGCCCCCTATTATTTTATCTTTGGAGATCAGACCAGCACTGGTACACTTAAACTTACTGTTGCATTAATGTTACCAGTACTTCGCTAACATACAGTCACGTTCTGCATTAATTTGATGAGTAATAAACCCATTCCCTGAAAACTTTATGAAATTGAGAAAAGAAGAGTCATGGGCAACAGCTTGAGAGTTCCCCTGGACAGTGAGTTATAAAGGGTGAACAGTACTAGCTAGTTAGGTATAGGGGCCGAGGGGGATAATAACTCGTCTCCTGAAACCAATGGGTTATAGAGTTTAGAGCCACAATTATGAGATCTCTGATGTGTGAGGTACATCGTACAAGCACGAGACCTTGTTCCATGCACCATCCATAACAGTCTGCATGAAAAACTTCAGCTTTTTTTTTTAAAACCTATCTCTACGTTCTTTAAGCTGCGCTGACAATATTCATCATTCTCAGAAACCAACATTACTTCTCCTTCAAGTAAACACAGTTGTCTCTCTCATGATTCAAGTAAACCCAACCAGCTAGCTCCGTTCTAGTTCATTTCTATCGACCCTTTGCCCACGAATATTGCAAGCCAACGTCACATTATTTTCCAATAATATTACAATTTATATATCGAGAAACTTAATCTGTTATTATGTTTGATTATTAATTAAGCTCTAAAAACTTGAAGATCCATAAGCATAAATTTTTGGATGCTCTTTGATGTATATATGGAGTTAAAATGATATTTCTTAGTTACTTTTTGAGGTAAACTCTCATATTTTACAAGGGGGTTGAAGTAGTTTTCATGAAAACTACAATTTATTCTTATGATTGAAGAGATCACGGATGAAGTAATGTATTAACCAAAACCATATGATGAGTAATTGACGTTTACCTTAAGCAGTTCATATGCATGCATGCAGAATTTATAAATGATAATTAAGAAGAATCATACAACATATCTTAAAGAGGGAGTAATAAAGGGAAACAAACTACTTTGAAATGAGATTATACAGCGATCGATCGACAGCGAATTCGACCCAATCAGAAAGAAAAGCAACAACTAACTAAAGGGTCAGATAAGAAAGAAGCATGCATAAAGAATCAACTCATACGATTTTGTTTCTAGTTAAACACCTGACTTTAAACCACGAACATCAAATTGGTGCAACTAATTAGCTAGCTACAAAAACTCCCACAACAGACAATCAGATTAGTAGTGTTGTATGATTATAACATAAAATCTGTAAAGACAACCCAAGTGTCTCTTTCAAAGTTTTCGTAAGTAGGTGATAGTAATCCTCCGGGCTCAAGCATCATGGAAACTTGGTTTATTCTTGAACAATACCTGCATTATGCTACGGGGTGAGCTCACGAACTTCAAAGAAAGAGCGATTCTTGACAACAATGTCATACATATGGAGAGACTTGAAGTTGGCGAAATTTATTGGAAGAGATATGAGGTGAGCGCTGTCTTCAGACTTGTGGAATTGGAGAAGATTAGGTTGGTGGGAGTTGTGGTAGCGAGACCAGCCGAGTTCGGTGAGTCGTAGTTCAAGGTCAGAGTAAGAGTGGATCTCCTGGTTGGTTGGGAGATAAACCAGGACCCTGGGTCGAGCCCCGGGTGCTGTGGCGGTGCCAGGGAAGGGGGGCTCCTTTTGCTCGAAAGATTCTCTGGTTGGGTTTGGAATGAGGCGGGTCACACCATTCTTTTCAAAAATCCACACACCAGACATTGTTTCAAAAGAGAGAGAGAGAGAGAGAGAGAGGAAGGTGGTGTTAGATTTCCAGCACAGCACGTGAATGCTGAGATTCATAGGAGATGACTGTTGAGACTAGACACTAGTACATATTTATAAGCCAATTAGATGCTCTTTGTACCCGAGAGGACTTGAAGAGGAATGTGAACAAAATTTAAAAAATATATATATATTTTACGATTGCGACGGTGGATAGGTATCTCATTTAATTTTTTGAGATTTTAAAATTATGACTTTGATAAGAATTAACTACCTAGGGAAATACTCGAACTAAACTAGAGATATTACCTCAATAATTTTATTTAATTTATTGATTAACAAGGAGTTTGAGCCAGTAATTATCTCCAATAATAGGCATAACCCAATATATGAGTTTGACTGTGAGAGAAAATGTTAGAATCCCACATCGATTAGGCACGCTCAAGCCTATTGGATTATAAGAAAGGGTAATCCTCCTATTCAATAAGACCTTTTAAGTGAGGAATTAGACCCAAAAATTAACAATCCTCACCTAATAAGACCTTATTGAATGGGAGGATTACCCCCTCTTATAACCCAAAATAAGTTTAAGCGTGAGTAGTCAATGTAAAACTTCAATACTCCCCTTCATGATCAATCCCATATATTGGGTTATGCCTATTATTGGAGGTAGTTACTGGCTCTAACTTTTTATCCATTGGTCAAGCGTTCGGTTCGACTGAAGTTGGGCTCTGATTTGGTATTCAAACTATATTTTTTATGGATTCATGACAATCAACCTTCTCAACCAACATTGGATCGTCTTGGAATTTGAGACTAGACACTAGTACATATATATAGACCGATTAGATGCATGGAGGATGCTCATACTAATGGGGGAACGCATGAAGCAAAATTTAAACCAGACACATTATCTCAGTAAGCTTATTTTGTTATATTTATATCTATTATTTCTTTATTAATTTGCGAGATTTATTCTTTAATCCATGAGTGAACTCTTGTTATCATTCAACCAAAACTTTTAGGATTTAATTATCCAATGTTTAGTTGTTTACCTCTAAACACGATAATCACATACTCAAAACGAGATCTTTGTTGAATTGTTGATATTAACATTTTCCATCCACATTTGATTTTCTTGAATTATATATCCATATAGGCAATACTACGCTAATAAACAAATCTTATAAACTTTTTCTCACAAATCTAACATGATATCACCATATCAGAAACCAATTATCAATTACTACGTCAGGTTTGTAAGATTTGTTTGTCAACTAATCTTTATTGTATCTATATATCCCTAATAAATAATAATGCCATGACTTTTGCAAATCGAAATATACTATAATGGGTGAATTTTTGCACCAGCTCATGCACTTTTTTTGTTTTTTTTTTTTTTTGTTTTGTTCTATCCCATTGGATGATAGTTTCTATATATGTTACGACAAAAGGGAAGGAATAATTATACAATTAACACAAGATTCAAAGCTTAACAGTCGTGTTATTCAGTACTGAGGGCACAATTGCTTAGCTAGTCTTTGCGTATCTGGACGAGATTTTCTCTCAAGAATCAGGACTCCAGTAAAAGAGTTGTCTCACTTGTCAACTCAATCATAAGGTGCCCCCGCTAAGGTTCCTCAATTACTCAGATTCCTAGTGCTGAAATTTCGTAGAGTGCTGCTACACATGCATCCTAAACACATAACAAACTGAGCAGCATACTGTGAAAGATCATCAGACTTTCGAAACCCTCTCATAAGAATGCTCTGAAATAGTTTGTGCCCTCACCTTGTTATTGATTTGTGATGCAATTCATGTATGGGAATTTCTTAATTATGGTTTTGCAAGTAATGTTATCTGTTTTATTGATAAATAATAAAGGGTGCGTTTGGCTTATTGTTTTTATTCATATTCCCAATCATATTCTTCAAATGTTGTTTGGCACGTTATTCCCTAAATATTAGTCTATTTTTTTAATTATTTTTAGACTCCATAAGTTTATTAATTTCATTAAATACCCAAAAAAAAGTTTAAAAACTAATAAAAACACCCCCACTGACCAATACTTGCCAGATCCTGGCAATCACGACAAGTGGTAGCCGAAATCTGTCACAACAGTCACACGACCAATCAAAGTGGCCGATAATGGCCAAATCTGATCTTTTTCTACCAGATCCACCATGGATCTGGCCGGAAAAGGTCATTTGACGGCTAAAGAAATGGTCGTCGTTGACTGTCAACGACGGCCAAATCTTGGCAATCGTTGACAGACAACGACGGCCAAAGATGGCCTTTTTCGACCGTCGAATGCCACATCCGGCCTTAGATCTGGCCTCTTCCGACCGTCGACGGCCACATCCGGCCTTAGATCTGGCCTTTTCCGGCCAGATCCGTGGTGGATACGGCTGGAAAAGGCCATATTGATCAAATACCCAATAGATCCGACCGGTATGAGTGGTTATCCAATTTTTCGGCCAAATTCTGACGGTAGTGGTCGAAATCTGGCACTGCAGGTGATAGGGGTGTTTTTGTCATTTTACAATATTTTAATGTATTGGGGTATTTATTAAATTAGCAAACCTTGGGAGCTTTTTCATAAATTTTTAAATTTTATCTTGTAATACTCCCCTATCCAACTATCCAATATTATCCCTAAAATCTTACCTAAAATAATAAACCAAACGCACCCAAAATTATTGCATGCATATTTAATAGTATTACTATTACCATTTCGGCATTTTCAAATTTTTAGCATGTATAATAAATAATATTAAAAAATAAAGGCGAAATACTTGCCATCATCAAGCCGTCTTAGCTCAGTGGTAGAGCGCGTGGCTTTTAACCACGTGGTCGTGGGTTCGATCCCCACAGACGGCGTTTTGCTGCTATTTTATATTTTTATTTTTAACCACGTTTTGAGAATGTTTTGCTTGTGGTTTTGATGGACAACGTTTTGTTATTTTTTTTTTTTAATATATTTTATACTCTTATTCTTTTATTTAATTTCTTGTTTTGCAGTTGTACTTATTGTTATGAGAACGTCTTTGCAATGGTTGGATTCAAACTGGTGAAAATAATATAGTTGACATTTTTATTTTAAAGATTGATTGAAATTGTTATAATTGTAAAATAATCCATACAAATTGATAAGCATTTGATAATTAAATGAATATGATCAAAATGAATGAACGTGAATATTTGTTATGCTTCTTATAAGTGTGGCAAGCAATCATAAGTGAAGAAAAAAATGTTATTAAGGGACTTTTGGATCATATAATGTTTTATTATAGGGAGATATTATACTAATAGAATAAAAGATCACCTTGAAGATTACTATGAATGTTTAGAAAATGTGTTTGGTTAGTTCGAATAAATTGGTGAATAATATGTTTAGTTGGGAGGATAAATTGTTGGATATGTTATATAGATTACTAAATTGCCCTTATTTTTAAATATTAATATAACAATATTTTTTATTATTATTTTTTGAATAATTTTTTTAACCCCCAACTTTTCAGATTTAGCAAAAACACCCTAGCAACCCAAAACGTTTTAAACTTAACAAAAATACCCTTACCCACCCCAAGCCATTGTTGGTGGCTGTTGTCAGTGCCGCAAATTTGGCCGTGAAATGGCCAGGTCTTTGGTTTCTGAAACGCCAGCTGTTTCACTACTAGATCAGTCACCGTTTCACGGCCACATCTTTGGCCGTGAAACAGCTAGATATGACCTCTGTCGGAAAACCCTCACCAACGCACGGCCTGTTGTACGCCGTTATGACTACTTTAGGCAACCTTCGGTGGCGGTCAACGGTGGTGGCTAGTTCTGAGTATAATAACATTTATGTAAATAATGACAATAACAAAGACAATGTTATCCGAAAATTTTAAAAAGCGAGGACAAAAGTGTCTACATGAGTAAATTGGATGTTTTGTAAATGTTAACAAATATAAAGGTTTTTTGACCAAATGATCAACTATTTAGGGGCAACATGGGAAACAAAACAAAATTGTATTACTAGAGTAAGTTTTAATAGCACGCCCCGCCCCCCCCCCGCCCCCCCCCCCCCCCCCCCCACCACCACTATTAAGATTCCCGCATATACCCCCCAAATGCTAGGGGTGTTTGGTTCCAGGTACCCCACACTTTTTGAAGGAATTGGAATCAGAACCGGAACCGCAGGTTCCTTGAAATTTGGAACCAAAACCGGAACCGACGGTTTCGGTTCTGATTCTGGGTATCCTGTAAAATTTGTGACCCCCCAAAAGTTTTTAAATGGCAAAAAAACCCTTAAAAACTTACAAATACCCCCCACCTGGCACTTGTTAACAAAAATAAAATTACAAATTATAAATTCAAAATTACAAACTCCATTACTTTGTAAAGGTAGATTCTCAAAAGTAAAACCAACTTACTTTAAATGTTATGAAATATAAATATAAATATATTCGCAATACTTTTTATACAAAAGTTTTTATTAACCCCCCTAATATTTAATTTTATTTTATATTAGTCTCGCTTCCTGGTTCCGGTTCCAAAAATTTGGAATCGGAATCTACCCATTGATGATTGGTTCTGGGTAGGAACTGGAACCAAACCTAGGGTAGCCGTCGGTTTTGGTTCCAATCGATTCTTTTGAACACCCCTACCAAATGCTACTGTTTGTCATAAAATATTCTTGGAATAATTTTTTACAAACCAACCAAACATTGTCATCTACTTAATTCAAAAAATATTATCCCAGCTATCTAATATTAACCCGATCAAAACGGCCCCTAAATGTTAAGGTTGTAAAAGGGATCATCTCTTTTAATCATAGATTAAAGTATGCCCTTGAAATTATGCATCAATTCATGTATTATATTATCAGAGTATCTTTAATGGTACCCTTTATTTTAAAAAGTATATTTTATATAAATAAAGAGTATTATCATTACTTTTTAAATATAAAAAAAAAATTTGTATTCAAATTTAACAGACTCTTTAAATTATACTTAATAAATATAATGAAAACTTAATAAAAGTGAAAATTAATAATAAAATGTATATAAACTTATAATTTATTAAATAAAAGTGTAATACCATATATATATATATATATATATATATAAAATCGTCAACAAAATAAAGTTAATATGAATTAACAGCTATAAATTCCCTGTTCAGTGGTCCCACTCAAGTTTGATTAATATATGAAATTAATTAATAATTCCAACAAATAACCAGTGAAATTAATGCTCAATTAACACATTACTCCGAGATTGACCAATTTTCAAAATTTCAATGCTTTTTCAAAATTTCTTTTAGCTGTGAATGTGGTGTGACTGGTAAGTCACTCCACGGCCGCCAAGTGTACATTGGACCACAAAGATTTCTAAAATAACCCAAACGGAAAAGCAAAGCAGCCCTGGCACTTTAAAAGTTACTTGTACGGGAAGGAGCCTTGTCTCTCTCTTCTATACCCTTTCTCACAGTGTCCATGGCCACCGCATTCTCCACCTCCACGTCACTTACCAGCCTGATCTCTTCTTTACCTCCATTGAAAATTTCTTTCTCTTTCTAAACCTAACCCCATCACTCTCTTTACAAAGATCCATTTTCATTTCCAAACCTCCAATGAACGATAAAAAAGAAGATTTGAGTCTTTGATTTAATGTTATATGTGATAGGTATGATCTCTCCATCCTTTAATATTCATTCTTGTTTTTGTTTTATCTCTAAAAGCTTTTAGTGTTGAGGTATGTTTAGATTGTTATTTGTGGGTACAATTTCGTTGGTTTTTGACTGAATGGATGATGGTGTATTGAAGACGAGGGACTGAGAGAGAAGACGTGAGTTTCATGGTGTTTGGGAGTTTTTTCGCTATAATTTGTTGAACAAAAGTGAAAGTGATATTAGAAGATTTTTTTTTTTTTTTGTTCCTCTAATTTGGAGAAGGTTTGAAAGAGTAAAGTTAAGGGCATTTTCGTCTCTGAACCTAAAAGTCTCTTTCAGTCACTAACATTATTTGAGGGTAAGGATAGTCTAGCAACTGATGTGACAGTTCAGAATTGGAAACTATTAGTAATCCATTTATGAACTGATTAGCTGGAGGTTGTAAGAATAGTATAATGAATATAATCATAAAACTAATTAGGGTTGAAATGTAACTCATGCTATTTACTCCCACTTAATACGTTTAATTTATTATATAATATTACGTATTTTTGTATATTTTATTAGAGTAATATTACCTATATAATATTTTTTATATAACGTGATAGAACAAAAAATATTGAATAAAAAATATATTTTTAATTTAAAATTAATCAACCATTTCTTACTACAGTTTGTATAAATATATCATACGAATATTATGCCATTAATAATTCCACCGACTAACCCGACGTTATTCGCATGATTGCATATGATAAACCAATTACAATTTTTTTTTTTTTAATTTCCAACACGCAATCTGCGTTCTCCAAGTGTAACATTGGGTCCACAAAAATTTTCCCAAATAACCCAAACGGTAAAGCAGCGCAGCCATGGCACTTTAGGAGTTACTTGTACAGTAAGGAGCCTTTGTCGTCTTTGCCATTTGTTTTCACACAACTGTTCATCTTCCTCTCTCCGTCAAAATATAAGAATACCTTTTTGAGCAATACTACTCTTACAAAGACAAAAACAAAGAGACCATACAAAGACAATTTCTACCCTTCATCTTCATGATTTCTCTCTCTCTCTCTCCCTCTTTTTCCGTTTTTTCTTTGTTTTTTCCTTCCTGATGATGTCACTTTGTAGCTCTCTTTGTATTGTCTTTGTAAGGATAGCATTTTTCTACCTTTTTACTCTTCTTCTTTTCCATTAGGTTTCTTCTTGCTGAACTCTGAGTAGGTACGAAGGTTTTTTTTTTTTTGTTCTTGTTTTGTTGTTCATGCACTTGTTTATTTATCAGAAGGCGCTTCATGTGCCTAAATTTGTTTTGGGGACACATATATGATTTGTGCTTTTTACTAAATGATTTTTAAGAAAAACTAGGAGTAAATTGCGGAGAAGCACTTGATTCGTGTGTGGACAGAAACATATAGAAATGCATTTCTTATGAATTTTAGTGTTCGGTGTAGTAAGCCTTTATATTTCTATTGTTTTTTCTTTTTTTATTATATTATATTTTTATTGAAGTTCTCGCTGCAATCTGTTGCTGCTCTGTTGGGTAAATGGAAGTTGTTAAGGGCTTTTGGCTTGCGATATCAAAACATTTTTATCAAAGTAATATATAACATTAAGTCTAAAAACTGCTTATTGGATGTTTGTTGTTTGAGTGATTTTAAAAGGTGTTTTTAAGTGGACATTATTTTGAGATGTATTCATTTGAGTTTTTAATATGATTTTGAACTCAATATAGCCTTTACCAGTTCATCTAATCTGTTCTTTAGCAATTTGATGTGATTTTTTGAATGTATAGTTTTGATTTGAGTTTATTGGATTTTTACTGCAATTAGGTGTTGGATAGTCATATATATATTTTGACATGCTTAGTGTGAGTTCTTTAATTACTAACATAAATTTGATTCATGATAAGTGTGTGGGAACACAAAATTTGTCAATTTTGTCAGAGATGTAATCTTTACGCTTGCTACCATTACAAGTTTTCATTATTCATGGTACCGGGGTTCAAAGAATAAATTGGTGTAAAATGTGTTTGTTGAAATGGAGAAAAAGTAGTTGTGTATCTAGTTTAGATAGATTGTATATAGAGTATTGTAGCTAAAATAAGATTGTATTTACAAACGATAATGAAAATGGGGTTTCTCCTTGGTCAATAATGAAGTGTGTAATATTGAAATATTCTAATGTGGTGACAAGTTGAAATATTCGGGCCCAAAGACAGTTGTGTGATGTCTGTTTTTGGGAAAATGTTGGTATAGTAGAAAGCGATAATTTCATGAAGCTTATAACCAACCTACTGTTATTTGGATTTGATGTGCTTGTTCTTTGGCTTGCCTATGTTACTTATTAATCATGTACTTATTTTTCGTTTATTTTTTTGAACCCAAGTTTTACACGAGATATTTTCTATTAGGAATTATCTATTAATTTGACATTTAGAGGTTGAACCATGCTTGATCTTTTTACTGGCTCAATTTTGACCTTAGCGCCAACAGTTTTTAGGCCAAGAGTATGAAGAGTATTGCATTTTGTTCTTCTCTGTCAATGATCTACTGAACTTTGCATTCTTCTGTTGTTATAATAAAGATTTCCAACATGTTATGCTTTGTTTGGTTGCCGGTAAAAGTTCTGCAATTGCTAATGACCTTCCAATTGAGTCCTCAGCAGACTGATCTGATAGCACTATTTGAGATAATACCATAACATAGAAACTTGAGATGTTATTTATTAAGCTGACCAGTTAGGTTGAGGGTAGTAACTTCTGTTATTTTTATGTTTAACCGTTATTAGCACTGACAAAATTTATGATTATATATCTTATGGAGAAGGATCAATCAGGAACTGTTTGTGGTTTTCAAATCTTGCATTTGAATTCCCTCCTGGGATTTAATATTACAACTGACACCTACATGAGTTTTCTTAATCTTTTTTCTTTTTTCATTTGTTGGATTTTTAATCTTATGTGTGACTTGGAAATAAGAATGTTTGTGTCCTGTTCAGGCCCTAAAGACAGTTGTGTGATGTTTGTTTTTTGGGGAAATGTTGGGATAGTAGAAAGAGATAAGCAAGAACTTACTTTTATTTGGATTTGATGCGCTTGTTTCTGGCTTACCTATGTTTATTTTAATCATGTACCGATTGTTAGTTTATTGTTTTTTGAATCCAAGTGTTACATGCGATATTTATATCAGGGATTATCTATTATTTTGACATTTAGAGGTTGAACCATACTTTATCTTTGTGGTTGCTCATTTCACCTGAACTAATAATGTCAGATGGTCAGTATGACATTTAAGACTTCTCGCCAACAGGGTGTTAGGCTAAGAGTACAAAGAGCATTGCATATTGTTCTTCTCTGTCAATGATCTACTGATCCACATTCTTTTGTTGTTATCATAAAGATTGCCAACATGTTATGCTTTGTTTGGTTGCTGGCAAAATTTTTGCAAATATTGCTGTCCTGCTAATTAAGTCCTTACCTGACTGATATGATAGCACCATTTTACATTATTTGAGGCCAAATACCTTAGATACTTGAGATGCTTTTATGAAATGTAGGTCAGCAATGCCATACAGTTTAGAAAAAGAGGCAGAGATGGAGGAGTATGAATATAGAAAATATAATGAATTGAAGAAAGGAGTCCTCAAGGTTAAAGTTTCAAGGTCTACTTATAAATGTCCATTCTGCCATTGGGACAAGGATTATGATTATCTTTATAGAGAGCTGCTGCAACATGCTTCTGGTATTGTTAACTCCAACAATAGCAGTATTAGAGAAAAAGCTCGGCACATGGCATTGAAGAAGTTTATGAATAAATATCTTATGGAGAAGGATCAGTTAGAAACTGCTACCAAGTCTGAGAGACTTGGGGTACATGATAAGGGACAAGATCAGTTGTTTGTCTACCCTTGGGTGGGTATTGTTGCCAATATTAAAACTCAGCAGAAAGATGGACGTTATGTTGGTGAGAGTGGCTCGAAACTTTGGGAAGAGTTCAAGAACAAAGGATTTGATCCCCTGAAGGTTCTTCCATTATGGAACCGTTCGGGTCATTCAGGGGTTGCTGTTGTGGAGTTTAACAAGGATTGGGCTGGATTCAAGAATGCAATTAATTTTGAGAAGAGTTTTGAAGTTAGTCATCATGGGAAGAAGGACTTTTGTGCGGCAAAGAACCTAGGAGATAACCTGTATGGATGGATTGCTCGGGATGATGACTACTACTCAAAAGGCATAATTGGTGATCATCTTCGTAGGAATGGGGATTTGAAGACTGTTTCTGGGAAAGAAGCGGAGGATCAGAGGAAAACATCATCACTTGTGACAAACTTGACCAATACCTTGGAGATTAAAAATATGGCTCTTAGAGAGATGGAGAGCAAATTTCTTGAGACTAGCAATTATCATGAGGAAGTGATGGCACAAATAGATGAGGTGAACAAAATCCGTAATGAAGGTATGTTTATTTAATAAGTTATGTTGTAGTAAATTAAGTAATTACTATTCTTCCACTGCACTGCCTTGCTGTAATTAATGTTTTCATGTCAATTAGATATAAGAAAGATGCAGCAGATTGCACGTGACCAATTTGAGAAGGTGTTGTTAGATCATGAGAAGGTTAAATTGCAAATTGAAGCCCAAAGAACGCAATTAGAGATGCATGAAATAGAACTGCAGCATCGAGAAGCCCAAAATGAAACTGAGAGGCAGAAACTTCATCAAGACAAGCTAACGGTAATGCATCTTTACTCTTTTAAGATTGACAATTCTTGACTGAAATTGTTTTTGTTAATTTAGCATGGTTTAACTAAAGCCTAGATTGTGTACTTGAGAATGCTTCAACAGCAATAACAGTTTGGCGACTTGACTTTTCAATATCAATTTATAGTTTTGATCTTATTAAAATGTAAGTGGTTATCTGCACATCAGTGTCCATGCCATTATTCTTATTTCAATTATTAGTTTCAAGTAATACTGGTTCATCTTAAACTTCAGTGACAGTTGATATTGCTTTAATCTAGTTAAAGTGGCAGTAATTTGAACAAATTTAACTTTTTAATTTTTTTTTTTAATTTGAACTCAATATCTTGACAATGCGTTGTTTTTATTTTAGTGGAATGTGCTGTACAAGTTTTTAGATTTTTCACTGGACTCTTTCTTTTTTCAGAATGAAAGGGCGGACTTGGAGCAAAAGAAGGCTGATGAAAATATGTTGAGGCTGGCAGAAGATCAAAAGGTTTTTCCCCCATTTTTCATCTTGAGCTGACCATTCAAAAGAAGGTTGCTGTATGTAGCACTTTTAGATTTTTTTTTTTAATTCAATTTTGTGAATGACTGTTAATGGCAGAAAGAAACGGAGCAAATGCGCAGGAAAATTATTGAATTAGAAAAAACACTTGATGCCAAACAAGCATTGGAATTGGAGATAGAGCAAAAGAGAGGTACTTATTTGGTAATGAAACACATGGCAGAAGAAGATCTTGATATTAAGAAAAAGATGGATGCAGTTCTTCAAGATATAAAGGAGAAGGAAGAAGAACAAGAACACATGGAAGAACTTAACCAAGCTCTTATTGTCAAGGAGAGGAAAACTAATGATGAATTGCAGGATGCTCGCAAGGAGTTAATCAATGTAAGCTATTTTCAAATGTTTAAGAAATTGAAATTTGTTATCCCTTATAAAGTTTTCAATCTTTTTAGAGGATAATGGTTCTATTTTTGTTTTTCAGAGTCTGAGGGAGGGGACATCCCGTGCTATTATTGGTGTGAGGAGAATGGGAGAGCTCAACAGTAAACCATTCCTCAGTGTAGCAAAGAAAAAATTTCCTAAGGAAGCAGGTGAGAAAGCAGTAGAACTATGTTCTCTGTGGGAGGAATATCTAAGGGATCCTAGCTGGCACCCTTTTAAAATCATTGTGGACAAAGATGAAAACTGTAAGGTAAGTTGTGCTTTATTTATTTATTTTAAGCAATCTATCTCCGTTGATTCAATAAGAGAAGAAAAACAAAATAAAAGAATACAAATACTTTTGCTCAGTTATTTGGTTGGTTTTAATTTAAAGGCTTACGACGGGCATTTTATTCTTATACATTTTACATATAATGTTTGTGTTAATAGATGTAGTAAATGCTTTAACTTTAAGATAGTGGGCACTTTCATTAGCCTTTCCCTTCTGGTCATGGATGCCTTAATTTATTTAATGTGCAATGTTGTTGACTGCTATTCGGTCAAACTGGTTGATGTGAAGATTGTTGTGTTCTTTTGAAGTTTTTTTAACCTTTAGATTAATGATTCAGGTTTTTCCTTTCATTTTCTTGAATGATTGATAAACTTGTTTCTGTAATATTTCCTTTCAATTCTGACTGACATTTTTCAAATTCCTTTTTGATTTTCTATTAACTGGACAGAAGATTTTATTCTGTGGTTGGTGTACAGGAATTTGTTGATTTAGAGGATGAAAAACTGAAAAATTTAAAGAATGAGTATGGTGAAGAAGTTTTTGATGCTGTGACCACTGCCTTGACTGAAATGAATACATACAACCCAAGTGGCAGATACACGGTACCAGAGCTATGGAATTTTAGGGAAAATAGGAAGGCAACTTTGAAAGAGGGAATGACACATTTGTTGAAACAGTGGAAAGGGATTAAACGAAAAAGAAACTGAAGCCGAGGGTAGGTTTCGTTTCACAGTTTACTTTAGTATGAATTTGTCAGAATTGCATAGTTCTTAGTTGACCATGTAGTTTTATTTGCAGCAGCCATTTGACAGCTTGATTATTAATTTAGATATAGCAATTATTATTGTTACAGTTATAATTCCAATTACTTTTTTTTTTTTCCAGGATTTGGTTAAAATTTCCACTTCTAATTCCAATTTTTTTTTTTTTTGGTGTGTGTTTTCAGGATTGGGAACAGTGACCTCTTCTTACATGCTGAATGTTGGCTTGTAAATTTTGACTATGCAGCAACTAAAATATTTACTCAATTGTCTATGGGTTGTACATTTCAGGAGGTTGAATTGGTATAGTTTTTTTTTAGATTTCATCAAGTAATGATGTTATAAAAATTTCCTGGAAACAATGATTTTGTCAGATTCAGTGTTTGAATATTTTAAAATGCATTTGGGAAGTATAGAGTAATTTCCATTCAATTTGTGCACCATAAATTTGGTAATTGAGCATTATGTTTTCACACCCATCAGGAGTCAGGACTACGCAGACAACTCCCTTTCCTATACACCAGACCTGCTTGGCTTCTTGGTAAGTAAAATCAAATATAAAATTAGATTGTATAAAATTTTCCATTATTGTAGTTTACAGTAATTCTGTATTAAAATTGTGGTGGAGAAATGTGGCAAGAATCAATACATGTCTGTTTAATAAGCTGATCTCCAAGACTCAAAAGAAGAATGTTGCCTGTTCTTCTCAGTTATTATTAAAGTAACAGTCGTAAATATCACACTACGAACTACGAATAATATAATTGTGATCCCTTACAATTGAATCTATTATTGTCAAGGTAAAATAGAACTAAAATTATTTTAATTCATCAAGTCAATGAAAGAATGTCTTTACCTGCTCGAACAAAAATCAAGAATTAAGAAGTTCAAGAAATATAAGATTGAAGCAGTGATTAGTGCTTTGTTGGTATACTGGGCAAATAGCAAGAACAAAAAAAGTTGATTTTGACATCATGAAAGGTCAAGAGACTGAAATCAAGCGTGAATTTCAGAAAAGGAAAGGCAAAGAACTCTGATCATTAATTTCAGGACTTTGGGAGATTAGTTGAGGTGCGTGTAAACTAGTCCGGACACTTCCGATCAATATTTTGAAAATCAAACCGAACCGCCTGGTCGGATCGGTTCGACCTGTAATCGGTGGCAAATTCGGTTCAGTATCATTAAAAAACCGTTAATCTCATTTAAATCGGATTGGACCGCGGTTGGATCGTCAGAATAGTGTCGAATCGCGGTTCAATCGCAGCTCAATCCCGTCGGATTCCGGCATCATTCGAGAGAGAAAACACCACCATTAGACTTGGCGGCATCTCCATGACAAAACCCAGCCATTTTCAGTCTCTGCTGTCCACCTAAAGTTCACGCGACTGTCAGACTTCTTTTGTTGATTCCGGCGATTTTCGGTGCCTATGGAACTTCCTAGCACTACCATCAGATTCGTCGGCACCTATACATCAAAACCCCCATGATTCCAAACCTCGATTGGCTGTCGATCGTCGCTGTCGCCACCGTCATTAGTCTCTTCGTGCGACAGGGGTGTTTTGGACAGATTTCAAACCTTAAGGGAGTATAAGGGGTGTTTTTGATGAATTTCAAACCTTCAGGGACTAACAATAATTTTATAAAATACAGTCCAACCGACCGATCCAACCGGTCAAACCGGAAATCGGACCCTTGAGTGGTTCATAGTTCGGTCCGGTTTTCGGAACATTGCCTCCGATTACCCAAAGAAAAAAAAAAAAAATTTAAGATAAGTAAAAGGCATTAAGATCAGCATAATTCTGCTTACTCATATTCATGGAGTGCATGAACAAGATTAGTAAATGATAATCGATAATTGCTCTGCCGAACAAGATTAGTTGATAGTGAAGTTTATTTAATAAATGAATGTGCATGAACAAGACAAGTTTAATAGTTAAATCATGAAAGTTCAAGTTCCGAATTTATGAAATGGAAACCCAGGAACTCCACACTTGAATTATGAGTGCCCAAAATAATTATAAATGAATTAATAATTTATCTGCTTGCACTGAAGATACGAATTGTTTTGTTTGGTTTTGGTTTTCTGTTTAAAAAACTGAAATTTATCTTCTTTACTGGTCATGGCAATTCAAGTATCAGTCGTCTCATTAGATTGAAATATGTTTTTGTAGAGTATGAGGGAGGGGAAATCCCGTGCTGTAATGCTGTGAAGAGAACGAGGAGCTTTACAGTAAACCATTCCGCAAAGTACAAAGACAAAATTTTCCTTGTGGAAGCAGATAAGAAAGCGATGAAAACTATGCTCTCTATCGAGGAATATCTAAGGATCCTAGCTGCCACCCTTTCAAAAATTGCAGACAATGAGGGACGAATAGGGATGCACGTGTGGGCGGGGCCGGGACCTCTGTCTCTGGCCCGGCCCGAAAGCCCAAGAGGATTCCCCAATCCCGGCTTGAAGCCCATTCGGGAATCATTCCGCAAAGTAGCAAAGGCAAAATTTTCCCTTGTGGAAGCAGATAAGAAAGCGATGAAAACTATGCTCTCTATCGGAGGAATATCTAAGGGATCCTAGCTGCCACCCTTTTAAAATAATTGCAGACAATGAGGGACGAATAGGGATGGGCACGGGTGGGCGGGCCGGACCTCTGTCTCTGGCCCTGGCCCGAAGCCCAAGAGATTCCCCAATCCCGCTTGAAGCCCATTCGGGAATTCAAGAATTCCCGAATTCTGTTTGGGGGGTTTTTTGTATTTTTTATCCTTAGTTTTATTATCCTTTTCTCCAAATTATATAACCAACAAAAAAAAAAAAAAAATTAAAATATATATAACATATTAAACGTAAAGACCATATCATCAAAAAAGAAATTAAATCTATAATGTAACATATTAAATATAAAAACCATTATACTAATATACATGTATAATGTCAATTTATACCACATATAATGTAAAATGTATAATGTTAAATATATACCATACATAATCGATATATAACTTTTGTTTCATAACATTAACATATTATGTATATATATATTACAAATATTTTAATATTTATTATGTTTAATCTAGTTTTTTATTACCTATTAATATATTTTTTCATAAAATACTTACACAATTATAATTTGTCATTGTATAATGTATAAGGATTTTCAAATATTAAAATATTATTGGTTTATATGATTGATTTTCAATTATAAAATTAATATATATATACGGTCGAATTCGGGGCGGGGCAAAACCTATCCCACCCCGACCCATCCCGAATTCCAGGGCCATTGGGCTCGATCTCGACCCAAACCAAAACGTTTTGGAGAAATCCACCCCGTTTGGGGCAGGTCCCTACGGGGCTGGACACTCCAATCATTAAAAAAAATTAAAAAAATTAAGGTACATGTACTTTTATTTATTACGTACAAATTAATGTGACATAACTCTTTTATCTACGCATCATTCATCAATATCTTTTCCTTTCATTTCTATAGATTTTATGGTATCACATTTTTCACTATACTCTCTTTCTTTTTAGAATGAAAGGAGACTTGGGCCTTGGAGCAAAGAAGGCTAATGAATTTTGTTGAGGCTGCAGAACATCAAAAGTTTTTTCCCCCATTTTTTATCTTTAGTGAACCCAAAGAAGGATGCAGTTTGCAGCACTTTTAGATTTTTTTTTTTTTTTTATTCACTAATGTGAATGACTGTTAATGGCAGAAAGAAAGACGAATGCGCAGGAAAATCATCGGTCAGAAAAAAATACTTGATTCAGAAAACAATTGAAATTGGAGATTGAGCAAAGGGGAGTACTTATCAAGCGATGGAACACATGGGAGAGGAAGATATTAAGATCAAGAAAAGATGGATCCAATTCTACAAAAAATTGTTAGGATCCCACTCGGATCTCACACCCCACCAGTGTGGTACTTGCTTATGGGTTCTCTCACCTATCAGGCCGGCTTTTTGGTTGAGCTCTCTCCTGGCTTGAGTTTAACATTTGGTGCTTTCTTGAGAGTTGGTTGCGGAAAGGCTACCTATAACTAGATTAATATGGTCATTGAATGACTGATAGGTGAGTGAAGCCACCCAAAGGGGAAAGGGCTAGCGTCGGATCAGTGGCAGTAGAGTGAAAGCCGTCATGGACGTTGGCTCTTAATAGGGTGTAATGTTAGGATCCCACTTCAGGATCTCACACCCACCAAGTGTAGTACTTAAGTCTATGAGCCCTCTCACCATCAATCGGTCTTTTAGGTTAAACCACCCTTGAGTTTGAGTTCAACAAAAGAAAGAGAAGAAGAATATAAGCAAATAAAATTGAAATTGTTATCCTCTTAATATTGTCAATCTTAGGGAATTTCACTGTTCATAACAATAAAGTATCATGGCCTCAAGTTTGATATGTCCTTCACTAGTCTTCTATTTTCTCTGAGGGTATAAAGCACAATAGTGAGTTATAATTTTAATTAGTTACCATGTTCATTTGGCTTAAAGATCTTTTTATTGGCCCCCTGTGAGAATGGATTCAAATCAGTCGATAACCGCACTATACTATTTAGCAGACCATTTATGACTAAGCTAATCAAAATCTTTCATAGACACCTGTTAGTTTTTATCCATCAAAGGACTAATAACCCTTTGCTTCTAATTAACTAAAGGATTATACACATCATATTATTCCCTGGTAATTCCACACATTCATAATTAAAAATACTATAGGAAAATAAATGATAAAAACAGGGGTTACAATTTTGATAGAATATATAAACTTTGTAATATGAAGATGAAAGTGAAGAAGATAAAGTGGGCTGTGTGAATCCTAAAGATACGAAAGAGAAGGAAGCGGCTCGAATTTGTGAAACGGAACGTCAGTGCTTCGCCACCCGGAATTTATTAAGCTGAATTACCCGAAAATAATAATGAACTAATATATATGGATAAGTCTTTTCTGCTACTTCATTAAGAGTCTCGAAGTTGGGTACTGTGTTTATTGGATCTCTCTTGGATTCGGTGTTTGACGAACACAGACGTTACTTATGGGTCGGTTGTACTTCTGGTTCAGGATGAGAATATACAAACCAAACTATACAAGCTGAAAGGTGTGTTGGTAAATACTAAAAAGCCTTAAAAGATCGCATAGCACAATGGTATGTAATTGAGCTCAAGTTCGCTGAGTTTGAGTTTGAAGCGAAGCTGCTATAATCGTACCATTATCTTTTACGTTGCTAAGATGTTTAATTTTTTTATGTTTATATGGAATAGGAATTAAGAAAGATGATGCGGGGGACGTGATCATTTTGAGAAGATTTCCTCGAGATTGAGAAGGTTTCACTGCATTTGGAAACAAAGGAAAAGAATTACAGAAGCGCGAGAAAAAATGCTGCGAGAAGCATGGAATAAAATGCTAGGTAGATCTTTATAC